ATTATCATCCTCTACTTATTTTGGAAGTCAAATTGTCACAAAATAATATGGTGGGTCTAGCTCAACTCCACAATATTTTTCATACTCTAGTATAATAATGTGATATTGCCATATATTGGATTTGCTAGATAATGTTTCACAATTAAAAGAATTGGGACCCTTTAAAGCAAACTTTTTTACTTAAAAGTTAATTATATTTGGTATTTTTAAAAAAATATATCATTATTTAATTTGATATTCAGTATTTATATTAAAGTGTGAGTAAATTTAAATTTATATTAAAAAGTTTTATATTAAAAGTAAAAAATTTACAACAAAAACATTTTTATACTTAAAGGAAACTCAAATTCAAGTCCTTTTTAAACTTATTAAAAATAAAAACTAAAATTAAATTAGAAAATATATAACAATGAGATACTTGAGATTCATTTTCCCACGGAAGAATGAGATCAAATAAGTAGAATAGTTCTAATAAATAAATTTTAGCGATAATAAATCTACACGTTAATAAAGCCTATTAAATTTTTTATCAACACTAGTTAATTGATATAATATTCGATATCACTAAATTTTAGACTTTGATGACATTTATAAAGAGGGCTAATTGATAAATATCATTAATAATTACCCCTCTCTTTATATATAACACAAATTAAAATATTTAAAAAAGTGTATAAAATTAAAAGCGGACAAATATTATAAGACTGAGTCTAGAAACTTTAAGTTGAAGTTGTAACTCGCAGTTTAAATGCAAACTTATTAATTAAATATAGTGAAGTAATTAGTCATTACATAGATTATTTGTGTAACATAAACAAGGGAGCTATTTATGCGTTTAATTCTCCCCACACTATTCAAACACATAATTATGATAAATTTTGACAACTCTTAATTAAATCATTAACTACTCCCCACAATATTCAAAACATATAATTACGATAACATAATTATTATTAATTGCTTTAGTAACATTGGTCAGTTTTGTTTCTAATAGTTTAACTTGATAAATTATAAGTTACAAATTTAAATAACAGTTTCAAATATCACATAAATTACAAGTTAGGTATAATATTTTTCATTTATCTTCAAATTATATGTAAGATTATCGTAAAAGTAAATTAATTTAATTTACAATTAGTGCAATTAAGATTATATTTTAACGTGATTATAATTTATTTATTTATTAAAATATTTATGTGAAAGGAAAAAAATTATATTTATTATATTATCCTTATATTTTTCTACTCACGCGCTTAGTTGAGGAGAAAAATAAGCGCGTGGGTTGAGAAAAAGTGTTTCACGAGAAAGCACGCATTAGTCAACAGTCAACGCTAGAAAAAAGCCACCTTTTAATGAGAAGTTACAATTCAGGAAGAAAACAGATGATTCATAAAAGCAAAATATTAAGTTTTTTTTTTTTTTTACTGTAATAAAAATAAAATAAAAAATAGCTTCAGTTACGTTTAGTCAATTCTCAATTTTGAAAAGATTTTCAACCACGGTTAAAAATAGGGCCCTCTCTATGCAAAATATAAATAGACAGTAAAACATCTAGAGAAGAAAAAAACAAAGAAAAAGCCAAGCTTAATCAAAACCAATCTCTATCATCATCATTGACCCAATACCCACTGACATAAGTCATCATTTTTTCATTCTTCTTCCGTATAATAAAATCGTTTTTATATATTTTATTTGACGTTCGGTATTTATATTTTTTATTATATTATATTAAATTTATAATAATACAATTTTTCATATATATATTTATGGTTTCTGAATCTTTCTGACCTATCCTACAAACTGTATTTGCACTAGCCAAAGGAAAAAAGCTGTAACTCTTCTGCTACAAAAGGGAACACCCCATTTCTCTTCGTTCTGTCCCCTCTTCCTCCCTTACCCCACCCCCACCACCATTTCAAACCCCATAGCAAGAAAACCACCATTTTCTTTCTTCTCTTCTAAAAAAGGGGAAGAAAGAAGAAAAAAATAGTGGAATTTTTTGGTTTTCTCAGAGGAGGAAAAAAACAGAGCAAGAAAGATGAGTAGTGAAAAAGAAGATGGTTTAGGTTTGAGTTTGAGCTTAGGAATCATGAGTTGCCCTCAGAATAATCATAAAACTACACCTTCTTTACCTTTGAATCTCTTGCCTTTCATGCATCATCATCAAGTTTCTTCAGGTAAAAGTTGTAAAGATTCTTTTTTTTTTGCTCTGTTTTGTTTTATTCATGGATTCCATGGGCTGAGCTAACTAAGACGTTTATGTTTTATCTATTTATAGTTATGTAACCCCTCTTAAATCATGGCTCTGATGCCATTGATGAATGCATGCTCTGTTTTATCGGTCAAAACAAAAAACCCAATTTTTTAAATTTTTTTTTGTTTTTTGCAGGGAGAAAAGATGAAGGTGGAGAAAGGGTAAGAGGGGGAATAGATATGAATGAACCAGCGAGGATGATAATAGAGTGTGATGATGAAGAAGATGAAGAAGAAGATCAGGTGTTAATGGTTTCCTCACCTAACAGCACTGTTTCTAGTGTGAGTGGAAAGAGGAGTCATGACAGAGAAGAGAACGAAGGGGAAAGGGCCACCAGCTCACTGGAGGACGACGGCGGAGATGCGGCGGCAAGGAAGAAACTCCGGTTGTCTAAGGAGCAAGCTGCCGTTCTTGAAGAGACATTCAAGGAGCATAACACACTTAATCCGGTGAGTGGTAATTTTCGTAAATAACCTTGTGGATAAAGGGTAGTTTTGGAAATACCTTTGTTTTTTTTTTACTTCTGTGAAACCATTTACTTCTCATCCAATTTTTCTGTTTTTTATTTAAAATGTAGTTTCTCAATGAATTTTAATTTTACAAATTCAAAGGTGCAGTAACTCTCATTTGACCATAAATTTTGATATTAAAACTTTGATCCTGCATTTTATTTTTTAAAAAATAAGATAAGCGAAATAATTATTAAATGAATTTTTCATATTTCAGAAGCAAAAATTGGCTCTGTCAAAACAGCTGAATCTCAGGCCAAGACAAGTGGAGGTGTGGTTTCAGAACAGAAGGGCAAGGTATGTTATTTGTTTACAGATTCAAGGGTATTTTTGGTATAGGAATAATATTTCACGTTTGTAGCATGAATCTTCCATATTATTATGGAGACACGTGTAAGTGTTCCATTATTAAAATCCAAAAATTATGATATAATCAATCTTGTCTGGGTGATACACGTGTGCATGTATTGTACTTTTCATTTTAAAATATAAAAATTATCTAATAATCTAATTTTTACTAGAAAAATTAATCCCATTTTTCTTTGATCAAACAACATAAATGTATCATATTTGTAAAAAAAAAAACAGCTTTACTATATTCTTGGTATTAATTTAAGTTTTTGAAGTCTGACTAATTCAGATTTACGATGACTTGAATATTTACGCTTGATGTTATTGCTCGATTTGATTGATTCAGGACTAAGTTGAAGCAAACCGAAGTTGATTGTGAGTATTTGAAGCGTTGCTGCGAAAATCTAACGGATGAAAACCGACGTTTGCAGAAAGAAGTTAGTGAGCTTAGAGCATTGAAACTTTCTCCACAGTTTTACATGAACATGAGCCCTCCAACAACCCTTACAATGTGCCCTCAATGCGAGCGCGTAGCTGTATCATCTTCTTCGTCCTCATCGTCAGTAGTCAACGCCACTCGCGCTCAGAACCACCAAGCGCCGGTGCCTATGAACAAGCCATGGGCTGCAATGTTCGCTTCTAAAACACTGGATGTGCAGAGGTCACAAATGTAACTTCAGTATTGTGTTGGGTAGAGGAAGTGTTTATAGAGCAAGGAGATGATTTACAAGAGATGTGTTGGGTTGGGTTTTGAGAGGAACAGTTTGTTGAATTTGTTCATTTTATTTGTGTAGGAAAATGGTTTTTACTTGTATGGTAAGAGACATAATTGTGTTTACTAAACTATTTTTATTATTATATTATATAGTATTAGTATATCCATACTTTTTTTTTTTTTAGCATGAAGATCCTATATATATTCCTAGCTTTTTACTACAAGAATCATGGGCTCCTCTTGGGCACTAGTGTAAATGATTGCTATCTACTATTATCCACTTTTACACCTAAAACTAAGGGGTCCATTAGTCCATTAAATTATAGTTAGTGTCACTTAATTTTTTTGTTGTTTGATTAGTAAGTTTGGATAACTGATACCTTATTTCACCCTTTGACTGGTATAGTATTTTCTGAGATAACTAATTCTGAGATAAAATAGATAATTATCTCTTTAAATTATTTTTATATGTCACTTTTCAAGATCGTGAAGGATATTTTTGTAAGCAAATAGGTCGTTTTTAAAATTTATGAAAAGTATATTTGTTTTTAGTATAACTAATCAAACGCTCAATAAAAAATAATTTCTGACATATTTCTTATACTTGTATTCAGATACTCCTAAAAGTATTTGACTAGCTAGTATTCTCCATCTAGGCTACAAAATACATTAACCTACCCTTTAATATCCTTCTATTTGGTTTGATCCCTCCATTTCAATTAAGTTACTTTGACTTGATATGAAGTTTGAGCATGAAAACTTTTCAATCATATAGTCTTAACATATCATATGCAACGTAAAATTACAGAATTGCTAAAAGAAATCTCTTTAAAACGGACTTGAAATGAAAAGTAGATCAAATAAATTCAAACAAAAGAAGTATGTTCAGATAATTGTAATTTCTTTTTTAATAACTATGATGTCCGGATCAACCTAACCTATACGTAATCCAGCCAATCAAGTACTGTATAAATTTGTCCATCAAGATTCAGGAAAATGTGATGATATTACTTTTTTTTTTCTTGTATCATTTGAGATTCAAGCTTTATTACTATATCTTATTTGCATGCTCTCATTGATAGGCAAATACGAAGAAAGTACTTGGTTAATTCCCACTGCTCATCGATAGGTAGGCTACTGCTACTCTCAGATGCAACCAACAACATCGGTATCAAGAGTCACAAAATGCACTAAAGGATGGGAGAAATCTCAAATTGCCTTGGTACAGTTCATATGTTATATGTCGCGAAGAATACATACGACTAAAGGAGAGGAATCAGCCCTTTGAAAATAGGCTAAACTCAATCTCAACATCAATATTCAATCAGAAAGCAAAGATAAGACATATACAAATTGCTACAGTACCCAGCGTATTAGTCACACAGTATTCACAGTGTCAGCAAGACAACGCAGTATGCATCCCAAACCAGCTTTTTCTGTTAGTTTTTCATGGATCCTTAGACATTGGTCACATGTTGGGCGGTCTCCAGTAGACAAACCTCTGTACAAGTACCTGCTCATCAGATAGACAGTTCAACCGTGAATCTTGTATGTTACATTACTTGGTGAATCAGGTAGATCTATTGGATAAATCACATTGCAATTTCACATTGTGTCTCAAATATGCTTACATCACACGAGTTCATGTGTGAAGCAGAGTCTAGATGGTCCAACATCAGAAAAAGAAAATGAGTTATGCTGGGGTCGCTGCTATGGTCCTATAAGCAAATGAAAGCTGTCAAAAAGAGATCATCAACGAGAAAATGTCACCTTGCATCACATAATTCCTTCATCCTCTTTACGCTAATGAAGATATAAGCAGATTTAGGATGAAACATTAAACCCAGAACCTAAAGAAACCAAATCAGCGGTGAATTATTTAAAGTTGGCATCCTGTTTCACAGTAGAATATTGGTGTAACAACCTCTACTGCAACTAAAGAATCAATACTAATCAGCATACAACCATATTGGTACAGGTAAGAAATCTCTTTTCTTTTTCCCTCACCTTAATTAAATAAATACTATTAACCTATGTCAACCACAGACGTTTATGAGGAGATGCATCTAAGTACCAATTAGCCAAGAGATGAAGCCATTCTTTTTAACATAGCCAAGAAGCAGACCTTTGTATTTTGCTATATGTTGATAACTCAGCATTTGGTGCGATTAGGATGCTTTACTAGACTTGTGGATTCATTTCATATTTCTTTTTGTATTTTTTTAATAACTTAAATATTTTTTTTTAATCTCTGTTGCTCAGATCCTCCACAAAAAGAAAGCATAACTTTTGAAGGAATTAACATGCATCATACAATACTTCAAAACTATAATATCCTGTCTAGCTTGTGTCATATTCCCTTATTTTCAAAACACTGTGTCCAACTATAAGACATGACTCTCATGTCTGTTGTTTGTTCCTCTGATGCTAATGTCACACCAATGGGGAGCATAAATACTCAAGTCTTTGTATTTGGCATGCAACTCCATCATAGCTTTATACTATATTAAACTCATAGAAAATAAAATATATACATACGGGAAAAGGATTTAAATATGGTCCAAAGAGTAGTTCCATGAGCAATGAGCAATCCTTTGCAGAATTTTTTTTTTTTTTTAAAATAAAAAATTAACTGCATATTGTCAATATATTGCAATAGGGGATTGCAAATTTAGAACAAATGTTAAGCGGGTTGAAGATCCCATACTTGTCTAAAGAGAGAAGAGAAAGTCCTTGAAATCAACCATTTGATGGGGAGAAAATATAGCCCCCTACACTGGAGGAGTAAGGAGATTAGATGTATTGGCCTTGACATGAAAATGAATATGGAGATTTGCATATAAGGTGATGCTGTACATAAAAAGGTGAATTTTTTTTTTGTCAATAAAAAAGGCAAAAAAGAGGTGATAGTTTCTAAATACAGAACATCTAGAAATGGACAGTAGTTGAATGAGGTAACTGAATAGCACTAAGAAAAGGTATTATTGAAGGGAAAAGATAGATTTTACAAGATTTATTGGTATTATTGTTGGAAATTGTAACTGGAAACAATTTAGTTCAACATATGGTGTGGAAACTGAAATTAAACTTAAGCATGCTTATCAAAGGGACTATGTGATTGCTCATCTGGCAATTGTCGCTGAACAAAAGAACTAACAGTGCAGCAATGAGAAAAACTTAAGGAATCTAAAGAGTTTCTTTCATCTCATTTATATATATGGAGTAGAGAGAATATATTCTTGTAAAGTAAATTCGATATCTTGATAGGAAATCAAAAGTAGCCTACATTACCACACGGCATGTGTACTTTTTAGCACCATCTTGACATATTAATGAAAATGATTTCTGACTAAAAAAATTCAACCTTTTAGCATTTTTACTTTGCTATCTAAATTTTGTTAAGTATTATTTCAAATTATTGTACACATTAAGTAAATTGGTCTAGATAAAAGTTAAAACCTTAAGAAAGTGAAACGGAGCCAAATACAACTGGACAGGAAAATAATGGATAATGTCTGAATATGTACAGAGACAAATGGGCTTATGCATCTCCTACTACAGTATGCTTACTACAGTGCAGAATGTACATATCAAGAGAAATTTGTATCTCAAAGCAAGAAGGCTATACAATATTTTGATAGAAGAAAATAGTTCAATTGTTTCACAAAACAAAAAGGAAAGACAAGGTCCTTTTCTTTCTGATAAATGGAAAGAAAAACGAGGACTTATCAGTCACATCTATCCTAAGAGACAATTTGAACCAGCGGGGACTGACTTCTAAGTGCGGAGCAGTATGTAAATGGTCTACTTGCCTACCATTTAAGTCTCTCTCATTTCTCAATATCGATAATTGCCGCCATTTAGAACAGTGGCATAACGGATTGAATCTCTGAGACTGTGCGTTCAATGTTTCTTCCTTGATTTGCAGCAGCGAGCTATCCCATAATATTCTAAGCTACAACAGGGAAGGTGTCTAGCCTTACTGAAAAATCTATACCAACCTGAGCATCTCAAGTTCAAGATTATAATACCAAAACCTGACTTCCGTACTAACTCAACTTATTTAAGCCCGTACAAAACCAATAAAAAGTACCCAAACATGATCACCACATAGGTCAGACCTATCTTGACTGATCATGCCAAATTTCTCCAAGTCATCCCAGTAGCAAGTTAAAGCTCTATATCTCTCTATTCTCAATCTCCTCGGCCAATATTTTAAGCTAATATATGAGAGTTGTAAATATGCTACACATTTAAATGTAGGGCCAACTTTGCTTTTTTTTTTTTACCAAGTTCTTATCTACAGATGTTTCCAGAAATTAGGAACTTCACCCCTTCCAACCCCTGAATTAAGCCCTTTATCATAAGTTGAAGGTAAAATTTTGTAAAGAAACAACATATAGATAAAAGTAAGAGAAGTCCCTTGGTTCTTAAGTTGAAATATCTTCATCTTAGCGCCAGATATACATACCAACCCAAGTTATTCCAAATGAACTTTCAGACCCTTCTTGTCAATATTCCATAAACTTTATTTTAGTGTTCAAGTATGTAGTCTCACCTCAGATTTCAGGACTGAGATTTATACCCGATCAAGCAACTAGCAAGTATTACACCAGTCCTGGTTGCTTATAGTATAAAATCAATGAAAAGACATTCTCACCTACCAACATGGTGCATTCATTTAAAAAAACATTTCTTCAAAGCTGTATCATTGAGATGTAAAACAATACCAAGTTTAGCTAGTTGTTGCACATTAAAAAACCTGAGCTGTGGTCAAAAAATGTTTGCATGTTGTCAATTAAATTTGAAAAAGCATATTGTTGGCATTTACCAAAATGTCCGATTAAAGTTCTTCAAAAATCTTAACGAAGTATTTCATTGTCAACAGATTTCATGACCCATCTCAAATCCATTTTAACCTAAAGTAAATAAACATAATATATATATATAAGAATGTGCAATCTCAAAATATATGATTTTCAGGCCATGATACTCAATGTAAGAGCTTTAAAAGATTGTTCAATCGATTATTCTACTTAACTGTTTTTCTTGTCTGAGTATGGTAAACCCCATCCCCAAGGTTCCTGAACCTAGGATTCCAACAGTGTGGCTTTTTCCATTTTTCTTCCATTGGTGACTCAAACCCCGAGTCCCCGACATCAAAACTGGAGGTATAAGGATTTTATCACTAGGATATTCTGTCCTGGCTTATTTCTACTTGAACATGTTTATCACTCTAAACTGGTTGTTATACGCAAACTGGCCTAGTACATTATTTGTCTATTTAATCATAGAGCAGCACTTTCTTCTTGATCTTAAAATTAATTATATATATACTTAACTGCACGAAGTAATGCATTGCAACACCATCAGCTCAAAGAGTTTGTCAGCTATTTCCTGAAAAGACAAGCTCTGGAACTTCAATAAAACCTTCTCTGATTTCCATCAGATGGTTCAATTTCAAAAGATCATTGTCGGATACTTCTCTGCCAGATTTAGATTTCTTTAAATTCCACTTCCTTGCATCAATTTTTGTAACTCAACTGAAATGTTAAAGTTCTAAATATCTTTGTGAAGATGGGATTACAAGCCTTGCATCACATTCCCATTAATGTATGCATAACAGCAGCACCAGAGCCTGAACAATAATATTTTGAGGATTGCTAAACAAGTATAGATAATTAAGTGGAGTCCCTTTGTCCAAATCTCAATCAGTCAAAAATGCATCAAAGCCCTCAAGTAAATAAAATCACTGATTTCACACAATTCACATGATCTTGCCATTTACATTCTATATTCCAGTAGGCAATAATGAAGCATCGGAGATATAGTACTCGAATCATACCACCATAACAAATTTCTATGGACAGGATTCACATCTAGGCCTCAATACATATAATAATTAGGGGAAAAAATGAACTTACTTCATGAGAATATCATAATACTCAGGATCCAATGCAGAGAACAAGCTATCCACATCCTTGATAGCCATTATAGCCCTATGCACCACTATCCAATTAGCAGACTGCAAAAACAAACACACACAAAAAAAAAAGAAAACTGTCAACTCACAAGCTGTGAGTAGACTCATATTCTAATTAAAAAAAACATACTTTTACAAAAGCCATGAGCAAAAAGATTGAACCTTGCATCTTTCATCCTTGGTCTTAGGAGGTGATCCTTCTAGAGCTGTTTTCAGAGCTTCCACTGGTTTATACCTAACAAATAACCAAAATCACAAATGGGTATTCATTATTAAACAATTACAGAAGTGGGGTTCTGTTTTTATGCAGATATGAAAAAGGAAAAATTGAAACTTTATAAAGGGTAGAAAATTTGTGTACTGTTTGAGTAAACTTTCGATCTTGCGGGACTTGTGCTCGATTCTTGTGATTATGCCTTCGTAATTATCTGCTTCGACAATCTCAGCCATTTGTAGACAGCTCCAAAACCTTGAGCCTCCTCAATTGCACAAGCAATCAGCTTTAGGGGATTTTTATTGAGAGTGTTTTTTGGATGCTTCAAATTTTGGTCCTCGATGATTTTACCAACAGGAGTGAGAATCTTGATTCTTTTTTGTTTGTTTGTTTTTTTACAACATTTTGATACTTGGTATATAAAATGAGTAAATTGCAGTTACATTCCTCTTAGTTTCTTAAACTTACAAATACAACCCCCTCTATTGATTTTTCTAAATTTTATATCCAAATGAATCAAATAACTTTTGATGTTCTTTTAGCTTTATCTACATGACAAATATAAGTTTAAATGTGAGGTGGAAAATGTTTAAGTAAATAAAGTAGGGTTAGATTATACTATGGAGGATTATATACGTTTATTTCATAAAGCATCTAATAATATGTATATTTTTCTTTAAATAAGACATTTTGCTATGTTGATATAAAAAATAAAATTAAGTGAAGTTTGTAACTTATCCAGCTAACATTACCTATTTGAATTTCTATATGTTATCAAAATGCTCATTTAATTGCTTGCACCTTTATATCAATCTGTGTCATTGGAATAATTTACTTTTTTTTTGTAGTAAGTTATTTTCTTTAGGAAGAAGGTAACAAGATTTTATGTGGCATTTTCAAACATAAAACAAAGTGATAAGAAATGCAGGAGGGACTACCCTGTAAATGATTAAAATGTTAATTTTATGAATTTTAAATTTTACGCTAATATGATTTCAAGTTTTGATAATTAAATTTTAAACTTGATATTTATATTAATACTAAGAAGTTATTTGGATAATAGTGATGAGATCAATTTTTTTTATCTCGTTGATTATCATGGATGAGATAACTTATTCCATCATTTATATCATAGTAATGAGATAGATATTCTATATGCATGGTGGAATAAGTTATCACAAGATAGCTAATCCCAAGATAACTTATTTTGGAATAACTTATTTCAATCAAACGACCCCTAAAAAAAATTTAAATATGTCATCAAACTTACGAAAAGAATTCATTTATATCCTTCATTAAAATATTGACTCATTTATGTCACTCGTTTGAGAAAAAATTCATTCATATCATTATTTGTTTAATAATATAACCCTTTTCTCGAATAAAAAAAATAGAAATAAACCAAACTTACAATAAAAAACATACTCTCAAAATTCGATTAATATATAAACTTATTCCTTATATACCATAAACTTGTGTTGACGGTTTGATCAATATTTTCTTTTTCTTTTTTTGGTTACACTGTCGATCGCAATCACCGCTACAAAATGGACCTTTGCTTGATAATGGAGAGATAGAAAACCATAAAATAATGACACCTTTTGAGTACTGGTGTGCTGTCTGTTTCTTCTCTCTCTTTCACACAGTAGAGTGAAAATATATACTCTCTCTTCCACACACTCATGCCCTTTTTGTCTTTCCCTTTGTTGTTAAGTCTTCCTTTCTTCTGCTTCACCTAACCTCCAATGGCAGCAACTGCATCTACAGACTATTCCCAGCAACCCCATTTTGTTGTTCCTCAAAGAGCTTCAACAGTGAAGCAGCAGCAGCGTTTGAGTAAGTCTCGCTCTGACATTTTCTTGAAATCTGTACTAGTCATGATTGTTCTTGTTGTTGTTCCGCTATTTCCTTCCCAAGCTCCTGACTTTATAACTCAAAGTATAGTAACTCAGTTCTGGGAGCTGTTTCATCTTTTGTTCATTGGCATTGTTGTGTGTTATGGTTTGTTTTGTAAAAGAAGTAGTTGCAAGAATTATGCTGAAACACATTCAAGATTTGATGGTTCAGATGCATATGCTTCTGGGATGTCTAATGTAGTTTCAATCTTTGATGATGGGCTTGAGAATTATTGTGGGTCTGATGAGAAAAGAATGATCCCAAATTGGGATTCTCAATTCTTGAATCATGAAGGTAGGGAACAGGAAAGGTTTGAGCTTGTTGAGGGTCAAAGAAGCAGATCTTTTTCAGGTGAAAATGGGGCTGAAATTTTATGTGGGTCTGATGACAAAAGAGTGATCCCAAATTGGGATTCTCAGTTTTTGCATTATGAGTACGGGGGTCAAGAAAGGTCTAATCTTGATGAAGTTGAGAAAAGTAGAACCTTTACGGAGATAGGTGGGGTCGAAAATACAGAGGTGTTTAATGAGAGGGAAGTAGCTCAAGTTTGGAATTCACAGTACTTTCTAGGTGAATCCATGGTGGTTGTTGCCAATGGGAACTATGGGGTTGAAAAGGTATCCCACATTGACCATAAACCTTTAGGCTTGCCCATTAGGAGCCTGAGATACAGAGTTAATGCTGAAAACTCTGAATCTATTGTTGAAGATACTGTGAATTCAGGGAGTTCGTCTGGTTGTAATGGTTATGAAGTTAGTGAGGAGAACATAAGAGGTATGGCTTCAGTCAATTTGAGGAGCAAGTTTGAGGAAGCTTCTGGACCTCGCCAAGTTTCATGGCGCTCGAGGTCTCAGAGGAGGGAGCTAGAAGAAGTGAATACAGTTAGACCGCATTCACATTCTAGACCTCACTCGGTTGGACAATTGGAGTTTGGGTATCTCAAGTCTAGGTCATTCAATAAACCGGTATCCTCTCGGACTAGTCCTACTTCTTGTTCACCAAGTATTACCTCACCTTCATCCTCTTATTCTTCAGAAAATGAAAGTGGAAAATTGCCACACACTGAGCCACATTATGCATTTGAGAGTATGCCCATCTCAACTTCACAACAGACAGGAGCATCCGTTGGAGAATCAGCAGTTTTAACTTCAAATGTCAAACAATCTAGCAATGAGTCATGTTCAGAAATGAATGTGCTGCTGAGAGATGACTATGAAGAGGATGAAAAAAAGATGAAAATGTATCCTTCCAGCACAGAAACATGTCATGTTCAAGGTCATCCACATTCTAAGTCCCACTCTGCTGGAGAAACTGAGTCCGAGCATCAAGAGCCATGGTCATTCTGGACTCGTGTACGCGCTCAAATTATTCCCAATTCTTCTTCTCCCAGAACAATCTCACCAATATCCTCTTCCTCTCCAGAGATGCCAAACTCCAGAAAGCAAGACCATGAGAGACTCAAGAATGTCAAGCCTCCACCCATCCAAGTGAGTCAACCAACAGCGAGATCAATAGATGATGCAGCTGCATTTGTTGCTTCAAAGGCTCAACGATCTAGTGTTGGTTCTTCCTCAGAGTTCGATACACTTCGGACATCTAAAGAAAAATTGAAGGATGTTGCACCTGTGAATGGTGAAGCAACACATCATATCTCAAAGTCTCGAGCATTTAGCATTGGTTCTTCTTCAGAAATAACCATGCAAGAAAGTTCAAAAGATAAATTGGAGCATGTCAATAAGGATCTTAAACAGGATTCTTCGTACACACGAAAACAAAGTGTCAACTCCTTAGTCTCGGACATGAAACAGCAGTCACCTGTGAATAATTCATCAAGGGGAAAATCAGTCAGAACATTTAGATCCCGAAGAAGTTACATTGATAGATCAAAAAGAAAGGTTGATTGTCCAAAAGAAGGTGGAGATGTAAACGAGATACGTTGTAATCAATTTGACACAACATCATCCTTTAAATGCATTAATCGAAAAGGGGATTCAAAACCACCAGTCAATTCTAGAGAAGGCATTATTGACAACAGTGGGCCAATTCCAAGCTCAGCATTCTTTGAAAGTGAGCCTGAAGCAAAGCAACATTTTACGAATACAGACATTATGGAGGCCAAGGGGAACTCAGAGACTGTGCTAACCAATTCTCACATGAGTTCAGATGAAGAAGCTGACTTTGACCTTGCTGATGATGTGGATCTGGGAAGTGAGGTTGATAGAAAAGCTGGTGAATTCATTGCCAAGTTCAGAGAACAGATTAGGCTTCAGAAAATTGAATCATTTCGACGGACCAGTGCTTAGTTGCTACCACTCTATCTTGAGGGTATATAGTGATTCTAGTATGCTAAAGAAGGATGTCTTCCCTTGTTTAGTGGAAACTGTGAAAATTGATCATTTGTTTATATGTTAGCCTTTCTTTGTGTAAACAAACACTTCGAGTGTTCTTAGAAAAAACCTGCTCAGGTGTGTAGGAGGGACAATTTCTTGCATCCTTCCCTTCTTGGAAGAGAAATCAGCAGTCTATTGGAAAACTATCTTTAGATGTTTCCATCATTTTAACTTTCATTTTACACAGAATTCATGTAACCTTGCAATTCATAATTCAAGATTGTGTTCAATTTTTATTTTCATCTAGATATATTCTTCAAGATAAATACATATCCACGCCCTTTCTTGTAACCTTGCATGTTAAGCCGTTTTGTCAAAGAATGTGGAATCACTAGAACGTTTTTGGCTTACGTAATCCACTTCATCGATCACTATGCCACACCTTTAAATGCTGGATTTTCTTATCGACTATCATCCTCAAGATATGTTATCCAACGTTTTAAATGAATACATAAAATGTAAGAAAGGCTTTATACCGAAATCCAGAAATGAAGCGTTTATACATAACTCAAAAGTCTAAAGCAATTTTTTTTTGGGGGGAAACATTAGTCCTATTTTTGGAATTTGAATTAGCTTGTTCAGATGAATGAACTTGAATTTTGTAATAAACATAGACTATGCTGAAAGAAGCAATTTGATGAATGATGAAACTGCATGTTTTGAAGTATTTTCTAGAGTTGATTATTTCTTGTAAATAATGTAACTAGTCATTTTTTTAAATTTTTTTTTGGTATTCTACTTAGATGTAAGCAGTTGAGATGATTACACGATACAACAAGAACATACACCTAGTGTAATCCCCACAAGTGAGATATAAGGAGAGTGGTGTACGCGCAAACCTTATCCCCACAAATGATAATTTGAAAAAGCATTGCAATTACCATTGAGGAAATACAACTGCACAATCAAATATGATAGTAGGAAATAAAAAACCAGAAGTGCTGTTTAAATAATAACACATGATCAAATTGTGTATGAATCAGAACAAGTGACTTGTTCTGCTGTTGTATCTAAAAGGAGAAAATTCAGAGTGGTATAACTTATAAGAAACAATGTCTGATATTTCTTGAACGTTACATTTGGTTCTTATTCCTTGGCTATGATGACACATTGCATCCACAATCAATAAAACATGAACTCACATCAAATACAGTAAGAAACCAAAGAGTTGCAAAACCGTGGATCAGTCGTTCCACTTATGAAATGCAATAGGTTTCACTGTGAAAGCAGTGATCCAAATGAAGCAAAAACCATGCGCGCCAACCAGGCTGGTTGAACCTGCAGCATGTGGTTATTTTAGACCTGTACCAATAGCATGGTGTAAGTTGTGACGAATAGGTCACAATGGAAAAAAAATATGAACCAAGAAAAATGGAGGAACATGCTACTACCAACTGAAGTTTTATCAAAAGCCATAAAGTGTGATAATTACAAAATGCAACGGAAAATCCATAGGTAATTTCATAAGCATCTGTCATAGCAAATGTAGAAAACATGCATGAGCTTATCACCACGATTTGATATTACGATTACTATTCCAAATGATGTGTAAATTGTTACTGGATACTCCTATCTCATGCTACTGGCTTGTATTTTTAGCAAGTCATAGGCTCCTTGGGAAAGGGGAGATAGCAGATAATTAAACATTTATTTTGGAATACAAAGCACAAATCAAAGAGTTTGATGTTATGGGAAGATTTAACTAACCTTTCTAAGAAGCTGTCTGTACATCAGAATCAGGAGGGAATACAGAAAGCTCGAACTTCTGGGATTTAGCAGGTTGCAGCTTGTTTTTTTTGGCTTGTATCTCTCTGGCAGATTTTGCTGCTGATTTAGTGGAATTTCGCAAATCCATCACTTGGAGGCTGCATATATCAGCCAGGCCAATGGGGATCTTCTCAAGTTTATCACATGATATGTGAAGATGTTTAAGTCTCGGGAAGTGATCACCTGAAGCATTCCAAGAAACTAAGTTTGCCCTTTCAATGCATAACACTTGTAGGAAAGGAAAACCTCCATCATTTAGTTCCCAGTTCTCTCCCTTAAATGCATTGTCCTTCAGCTTCAAGACTTGAAGGTTCTCCAGCTGTTTCAATACAGACATATCATCCCACTCCAACCAGGTATCTAATAAAGTCAGCTTCCTCAACTTTGTTGGAAATATAGATGCTGGAGGAAGGCGTAATTGTGTCTGATCAATCTGACCAACATTTATCAGCTTCAAGTTCTCAAGAAATTGCAGCCTCTTAACATTGTTCAACAATACAGACTGACTTGGTTCCATTAGCTTAGCTATTTTTCCACGAATGCCCAGTTTTTTCAAGTTTGGAGCCCTCGAGAGAACATACTCAGTGCAGCTTTCTGGTGCAATTGTGGAGAGGGTTTGCAGGCTTTGATTTACCAAGGTAGTCTTACTTGTTTTGGGGTTAGCAAGCGCAGGCAATTTAGCAGACGTGTTGGTGAGCAGATGCCTCAGCCGGGGCATGTTCAATATGTCTGCTTGAATATCAAGGTTGATCTGTTGTGTGTTGACAATGAGGGTTTGTACGTTCCAAAGTTCCCCAACATGTTTCGGAATGACTTTAATCGAGTCAAATGAGAAAGCAATATACCTCAGATGATACAATTGAAAGAACTCCTTGCAAAAGCGATTGATTTTGATGGATTCAGTATCAAACACCCTTAGCAATGGAAAGGCTTTTGATATGTTTGCACTGACAGTTGGGGGAGTGTCAATTTTTTCTGGAGAAAAACATAGGAACGACCTAACATGCTCACCAGAGGGCTTCTTAGAAATGAACTCCACAACAGAGGAATGAATGCACAAGCGACGATGAGTGGATACTTCACGAACAGATTGCTCACCACCGAATTTTACTTCATGGAAAAGATTTTCCTCTGTCGTAGCCTCTTGCCAGCAAAACTCATACAACATGTCATGAACACGACAAGTTTTGATTTGTCCATCAACCGTCCTTTGCATTACCATCACTAAGTTTCTATTTACGAGTTCATTCAAGTACTCCTCTGCTTTACACTCAGGGGATAAGTCCCCTCTGTACTGGATAAACCCTTCCGCGATCCATAAGCGGATCAATTTCCTGGCAGGGATTAAATAGCCTCTGGGGAATGTACCGAAGTATAAAAAGCAAGCTTTCCAGTCATAAGGCAAAACATCATAACTCATCCGTACCAATTTATCACAACTATTTGGCTGATCTCTATTTATGAAATGTTCGCCCACACTCTGATCCACTTGCTCCCATTCCTTTATTGTTTTGCTTTTCCCAATTAGAGCTCCTGCAATCACCACAATAGCAAGGGGTAGTCCTTTACACTTCCTGGCTATGCTTTTTCCGTTTGTTTCCAATTCGGGGAGACATTTAGCTTTGTGAAAAGCTCTTTTCTCCAGTAAAATCCAACTCTCTTCATCAGTCAGAAATTTTAAATCATGTGGACTCCTATTGCAATATCTTGCAACACGGTGGTCTCGAGTAGTCAACAATACTCTATTGCCCTTGTCATTTTTCGGGAAAGCAATCTTGATACGATCCCAAGCATCTGTCGACCAGACATCATCCAAGACAATCAAGTATTTTCCTCCTTCTTCCAAAATCTCTTGTACCTTAAGAGCTAAATCCTTTTCAGACATATCACGGCAATGTTTGGTGTTTCCGGTGAATTTACTGATGATGTTAAGATATAATTCTCTTGTCTTGTATGATTGGGAAACGTAAAGCCAAAGTCTAGTAAAGAACTCGTACTCAATCTTCGGATGCTTGAAGATCTTAGTGGCTAGTGTAGTTTTGCCAAGACCAGGCATTCCAACTACTGGAATAACCTCTAAATCACCTGATCCTTCAAGAAGACGGTCGATTACCGTCTGCGCCTCATCGTCAAAGCCCACCACATCATCTTCCTCAACCACAGGAGGCTTTTAAAATAGCAAAGATAAAGATTAAACATATGAAAGTTAAGTAATATTGGCAAGAAAAAGAACATACAACCAAAAAATATAGTAGTATTATATTATGCATTTGTGCCTGCAGCAGAAAAGGATAGGTCAACTATAGCAGCAAAGTTGGATTACAAACACTAAAGGCATAACTATTATAATAATGTCCAATCGTTTAAAGCCATATAACCTCATTTGTTTGCATTAGGTAGGAATCGGAATGATTCAGAACTACGATCTGTTAAGTGTATTTGTTCGTATTAAGATTTCAGCATTAGTATTTGATTTGAATAGCTCTTAGTCATTTGGATCTTGAACAGTGTCTTAATAGTATTAAGTGTATGCATAATTTTCACAATCACTATATGATCACTAGCTACCACCAATAACCAATTTTGTCATCACAATCATCATCATCATTACCATCGTCAAACACCATCACTGATGCCAATTACAACTTTCATTCGCTAGTACACTTACCATCTTAAATATTATAAATATATCAAATGTCATCACCGCATGCATCCACCGCCACTATCATCATTGCGATCAATCTCTACTATCATTCTCCCATCATGCATCACAACTAGCACCACTAACATATTGTGGAGCGTCACACATTTTTTAGCCACCGCCAAATATTAACATCAACCAACCACCATTACCACTACCAATCGCCACCATCACCCCAGTTACTAAACACTAACCACCATTACCACTATCAATCGCCACCATCACCCCAGTTACTAAACACTAACCACCTCCACCGTTATAACTATCATCATTACCATTAGACTATTAATACTCACTAATACCAATCATTACCACCATCATCACTTTAAATCTATCTTCATTATCACTAGCAAACATGAATGGCTCTTTTTTTTTAATTAAATAATAATTTTATTTCATTTGAATTATAAATTTCTTTATCTCTACAAATGAATAAATTATGCATGTGTTTAAATGCAGAAACAATATCTTAATAATTCAAATGTTTCATTCAAATCCAAATAAAATACTCATTTTGTGGATATGTTGGCTAAAATTCGTTCTCATATAAATATATCGTTCACTTTTATCTTCCTGTCTCATGGTTAATTTGGTTTCAAACTTTTACACGATCTGAATTAGGTGGATCAAATTAATATATAAACCCACACAAATATAGGTGTGTTGACCAGATCCTAATATTTTCATGAGCTAATTTTGTCGAAATTAACGACTTGAAGCAATACCTGTCTCTCTTCTCCACCTCTGCTGATTGAATCATCATGATCTTGAAGT